AATGTGTGAGACAGGAGGAAAGGGAGAAGATAGAGAGGGAGAGGGGGAGAAAGCGAGAGACAAAGAGAGAGAGAGAGAGAGAGAGAGAGAGAGAGAGAGAGAGAGAGAGAGAGAGAGAGAGAGAGAGAGAGAGAGAGAGAGAGAGATGTGCATAGAAGTTATAGTGGTGATATTGCTCCTATAAGTAATTACTGCAAACATTTGAACACAACACACATGCACACAAAAAACAATTTTTTTCCAATCGCTATCATTCAGGCAAACTAACAGTACAAAGAGTAGAGTAAATGCAATTTTAAATATAATTTTTTCTTATCATGTCAGAAATATTTAATACATACAATAATAAAACACATAAATAAAAAACACACACACACATACACACACACATACATATACAGTAAAGCTTATTGTATTATTTTCAATCATGCCACTACGTATATTTGCAAATACTAACTCGAATAGAAATCCTTTATTACCTCGTATCCGAATAGAAATAATGATTAGATACATTAGCCAAGTCATCCGCACGTATACCTAACAAATTTTTATTTAGAAAATTAGTTTATTACTATAAAATAATATTACGAGAAATATTTCGTTTCAAAAGCATTTCTTAAACTTATTTTTTTAAATAAATTCTTGTATTCTTTTGGATTAATCATAAAATAAGTTACTCTCTCTTTCTTCCTTCGTGTGTGAATGTCATGTGTTATGTGTGTACGTGTCTCACACCTTTCTACAAACATATTCTAACTATTACTGACAAATTGGATGTCATTTTAATATGAAAAGAAAGTGCAAATTTGTAGGAAAATAATCCATTTCTTTCCTTCTCTAATGCTGCAGGGTTATATTGTATATGCTGATTGCTATATAATTAATTGAAAATGTTTATACGATAAATGAATATCCCTTCTCCTATACGGGACATTTTCGTTACAACTTTATAGGATTTCCCTTTTTCGTAGAAGAGATATCTTATTGTACAAAATAGTTTATTACCCTCTCTCTCTTTCTTTTTTCAATTTTTGTCAATTTTCTCTTTTTTTGTTCATGTGTCCACAATGTGTATTTACAAAGTACGTCAATATTATTCCACTGAATGTCATTAAGAAACTTATTGCGGTTAATTTGTACAAAAGTGTTATTAGTTACAGATTTTTTCCAGACTGATGTTGCAAACGCACAAGGGTATGCATACGCTTCAGCTCAAGATTTCTATTCTGCTAATGACTCTCATAACAAAAAAATAAGAATCGACCATCGATACAATGTTTTATTTACAATCTGGCATATGCAATGTATGCTGAGCATATTTAACAGCACTCTACGTATCACATGATTGGGGCAGCAATGGTCAGACTCCTAGTGAACTACGTATTCTTACAAATGTTTATGTATGTGTATGTATATGTATAAAATTTATATATTAATATATATTAATTATATATATTATATTATTAACATACATATATAATACGATATAATACTATATTTATATTATATATAATGTATATTATTATATATATAATTTATATATATATTGTTTATCTATATAATCTATTTGTACTATATGCAATCATGTATATCCTGTATTAGATATAATCACTTTTAACACACGAAATGATGCACATACATATCGCGTCTAATTGTTCGTACATATCATGACTCAGAGCTCTGCGTTTAATATAAAACATTAAACATAAAATTGAAAATAAACAAAGGCAAACGTAATATCGATTTAGCTAATAAAAATGGAGTTTTGTATTTTTTTGTGATATGGATGTTATATGTGCAAACAGGAAGGAACAGATTTCTGATATAAAAGAAAGTAGAAAATTCCTAGAAACAAACATGGGTTCAATTTGAAATGGTATTCACAAATAGTTATCCATCTTGGCCATCGAGATCACCGAATCTATCTCATTCCTTTAGATTTGTTAGCTACTGAGGAAGAAAAATTTAGTACATAAAAGAAAGATTGAGCTGAATAAATAGAAAACAATTATAACTTTTCACTGTGCAATTGCGTATTGTGTATTAATATCCAAAGTCAATTTAAGCTTAATGTGATTTTTATATTCCAAAAGTTGTGAAGGCTCCCAAAAAGAAAATATGTAGAAAGGAGAAGTACCAATGTGAGCCACAAAATGAACGGAACTCGATTCTCACAATACAGAAAAAAGAATTTCTCTTTAATATAAAATATAAAACGTTTCGACCCTTCTTCGGGTCTTCCTCAGTAAGACTCGTTTATGCATTATATACATTATATTTTATTAACGGATATTTCTGCTGGCATTTTATCGAAAAATACAAAGTTTGCAACAGATATTTTCAAAATCTGTTGCAAATTTTGTATTGTCGACAGATTTGGTTGTCCATATCATTAATAAAACACTTATAGATGAATGACCGTTTCGAATTGAATCCATGTATGTAGGGTATTTTCTACTTTAATCTAAATTAAAAAACATACTTCTTCAGTTTGTACAGTAGTCATGTAACATCTTGTATATAACTTGGTACATTAAGACATATCTGATTGGGCGTATATTTGTTTATGTGTTTATGCGTGCGTGCGTGCGTGCGTGCGCGCGCGCGCACGCGCGTGCGTGTGTGTGTGTGTGTGTGTGTGTAACTTAGTAAACAAATATACTAGTAAAGAAATATCGCATTTGAATAAAGACGTGTCGTCAACGTTACATATCTCTCTAAAAAATTACCAAAGAGTACAAGTCCAAGATATAAACAAGAGAAAAAGATATAGGGTCTGTCGCAACAAGGAGGGTTTAAAGATAATGCATGCAGAAAAAGCTACGTCATTCAACAAATGCTAGTTCAGTAACTTTGTAACATCAGTTCTGTTATTTCTGAATGTACCTCGGTTATTTCTTTTAGTTGGGAATTCAGCTAATTATAATCAAAGACCGTGTCATACGACTCCAAGTTTATTAAAGACGCTACTAATTAATATTATAAATTAATTTTCAAAGCATCTTTCGGCGTCGAATTGCCGTCAAGATTGAAGCGATGACATGTATTTAGCGTCAAACTCGCATTATTGTTACCGCAACGAACGTTTCCGAGTACTTACATGTATTTACGAGTGCCATATAACATTCGACGATAGCAAAAATTGGAATGAGTATACATTTGTCAAACTTTCAGATATTCCTGCGACACAGCACCTTTCGTGGCAGCGCCATTGCTAGCGAAGACTGTATTTTTAGCGGTCTCGACCGCAAAGCTATTTCAAGTGATTTAACTTGACAAACACGAGCATGATTGATATTATTGCAGATTCGTGATCGTGATACCGCTAAGATACAGCTGGAGGATTACTGGCTTACCAGCTCACCGGTCGTCGAATATATACAATTTCGTTGGTGTTGATGACATGTCATTATGTCACTGGTAGCAAAGCGGTCATCAGCTGGAGATTGTTACGAAGGAGAAGCGCAATATTCAATTAGTCCAATGCAAGCGCCCACTCCTTTCAAACGTAATTATTCCTGTTCGTACACAGGATTATTTTAAGCATGTCGTGCAAAATAGTTATTTAGACGAATATTTCTTCTTGCCAAGGCAGTTCTTTGATGGCGGACTAATTATTTCATAGAAATGATATTCTGAGAAGATCCGCTTATGTAAAACTGTCTATCCTGAGGTATATACGACATGTTGCGGCATTCTGTGATTGTATCAGAAGAAAACCGGAACAAGGGCGAATTCCGATAATAATTCTTCTCTCTATCCTTTTCCTCCAGCCATATATCGAATGTATTTGTCAATAAACTAATTATCGCTGTCAGCATAATCGTCAGTATCAGTATCGCCGCTATCATCATGTCTCGATTGTTGCATATGAATATCCAATGAATTCATTAATGAATTTGCATCACTGGCTATATCCATCGAGTTGTCAATTAAAATGTCCACACTTGGCGATAATTTCCATGATGCAACATTATGCAACCTACGAGCAAGCACATATAATTAATAAATAAATTATATATTAAAAACATATCTTTATTTCTAAAAAAAAAGTTATCTCTCCAGGCGTATAATTATTAAAAAAAATCTTCATATTTTCCATAAAGTATTAGAAATAATTATAAAAGCCAACGTGCTAAAAACTTTGTAAAACCATAAATATTAATCAATACTTAATAATATGTCTATATAATTAATTAACAAAAGAAATTAATAATGTACAAAAATCTATGGCTAATTAAAATATAAATTGCTATGTATGGGTCAAAAATATTAAAAGAGTTACAATGTAAATGTTGTAACTATATCATAAGATCCTAGGGGAAAAAATACAATTTGCAAAATACGCTGGATAACCCATAAAAATATAAAAACAGCTTAGACATTAATTTAGTACGTTAATCCATATAAATACATGCATCTTTTCACCATGCTATTTTATACTTTACTTACTGAGCTGTAGATGATGGTTACATATCATCATCACACAGCCTGCAAGAAACGTATTATTATCACTATGATCACGGTGGAAAGGAAGAATATATGTTGTTAGTCGGAATGCATAATATATCTATTTGTCTACAACGCATGCAGTAGGTGCGATACGAATCAATACCGAAACCATATAATACGTAACTATATACATATGTAATTTGAAATACAATATCGCGGCAATGTAAGATATAATATTATACAGATAATCAATTGATCGGGCATTATCAAGTGTGAAATTCAATCACGATTTAAAACCTGGCGATTGATTTATGTTTTTGTGTTTAAAGCTGCAAATGATACTTACATTTGTTCTTGTTGATCATTGCCACTTTCTTCAGCAACCAACAATTCGTATTCTTCTGCGGCAAATCGGTCCCAATCCGAGAGCTATAACAAAAACATATCTATGATATTTAAGCCCACTTTACACGATCTACAATTCGCAACAGAATTCCATTTTTTAATTTTTATGTATCGTGTAATACAGAAAACATTTGAACAATCAGAATTATAATTATAATGCTCCAATTTTGTAAATAGAAAAGATGCGTCAAATATGTGTAGTGCATGAAAATGCGTGATTGATTAATTGTATCTGGTCTAATGAAAAACCTTAAGCATTGATTGCTGTGAGTATTTGTGTCCAATCGGCAGGGAAAACGGACCTCATCCATATGTAAATGTTATAACCTACACTAACCTAATCTACAAACATATGTCAATTTAATATATGAAATTATAAAATAGAATTCTATCTTGAATTCTGTCGCGAATTATAGATCGTGTAAAGTGGGCTTTACAGAAAAAAAATATATACAGTATTTTAAAATTACAGTATTTAAAAATATTTCTGTAATTTTTTCGTTTCTCAATTCATTTAATTTGCCTGCAAATATTCCCTTGTATTTAATAAGAATTAACTCACAAACTATCCGAAAAATATATCATAATCTATCACAATATAACTGAAAATTCTTAAAGATCAAAACAAAAAGAATATTCAAGGTTTAATACTCGATTAAATAAATTTTTTTAATATAATAAGATAAGGGTGATTACGTACCTCGTGACCGTCAGCATCGTGATCCCTCGTTGAGGCAAAAGGATCCCTCTGTTCGTGATCCAGATACTTTTCCAGATTGAAAAAGGTATCAAAAAAGATGGATGTCATTTTGCAGTTTTTCAAGTCGGTCAACGATATCTTGCCTGGTATCACCGGATGAATCATATCCAACATCTGTGATATATTACATGTTTTCAATATTTTTGCATTTTTTTATCGTGCCTTATTCAATTTATACTTTTTAATATTTGTCCCAGAAGCTCAAACTTAAAGATTTACGAAACTGAAAAATTTCTAGAAACTAACAAATAGACAAACTCACAATTCTAGTATTACCTGACAAAGACAATCTTCAAAAGGCAAGGTCTCCAGGCCAATCGCTTCCATTCGACGTAATTGCTCTTCATAGAAGTATTCCAATTCGTACATCGACAAGTAACCATCGCCATCGAGATCCATACATCTATCAATGAAAAATTATAACGTATATTAAAAGATAAATGGTACAATATAAGTTTTATTGACCTGCTATGACAGATGTAAAATAATTACCTAAACCAATATTCAATGGCAGTTGAATGATTCTTGTCTTCCTCACTAAGAAGGAACCATACAAACTCCGTGTAACTCATCTTGTCCTCTGGTTGTTGTGCATTGTTACTATTTTTTGCTCTACCACCTCTTGTCACAGCACCACTAAATATCCTTTCGATCATTCGAGTAGATAAAGCTGAAGATAATTGGACAAACGAAAAAAAATCAATAAGAAATCAA